ATCATGCAGGCCAGATGGCCTTCAAGGAGGATCTTGGATTCCTGCCTCTGCCTCCTAAGTGCTGGGATTACGTGAATGAGCCACCACACCTGAACTTTTTTTTTTTTTAAAGATAGGGTCTTACTTTGCACTGGCCAACCTTGAACTCACTGTGTAGACCAGGCTGGCCTTCAACTCATAGTGATCTGTCTGCCTCTGCCTCCTGGCCACCTTTATTTGTTTGAAACACGATGATCTGGAGCTCACTGCGTACTCAGACTGCTCTCTCTAACAGTGAGCAGCCTCCTCTCCTCAACTGCCTGAACGCTGATGGCAGACATGAGCCACTGCATCCACCTCACTTAACCTTGCTTACTTAACCTTACTCACTTAACCTTGCTCACTTAACCTTACTGCTCGAGAAGTCCCATCCATTCAGAACACTGCAGTACTAAACTCTTCCCTCTAGTCCAGAAAGAACTGTATTGCTGGGAATCAAACCCAGAGCTTTGCACATGCTAGGTAAGTGCTCTAGCATTGAAGTTCATCCTTAATCCTTCTCACCCTTTTTTTCACTGGCTTACTAACTTGCCAGAAGCCTGAACAACATATGTCTTCTTAACCAGATGACTTATATAGTTTTTTGTTTGTTTGTTTGTTTGACAGGGTTTCTCTGTAGCTTTGGAGCCTGTCCTGGAACTAACTCTTATAGACCAGGCTGGCCTCGAACTCACAGAGATCTGCCTGCCTCTGCCTCCTGAGTGCTGGGATTAAAGGCGTGCGCCACCACCACCCGGCTGGCTTATATAGTTTTTTTTTTTAAGATTTATTTATTTATTATGTATACAACATTCCTTCTGTGTGTGCCTGCAGGCCAGAAGAGGGCACCAGATCTCATTATAGATGGCTGTGAGCCACCATGTGGTTGCTGGGAATTGAACTCAGGATCTCTGGAAGAACAGCCAGTGCTCTTAACCACTGAGCCATCTCTCCAGCCCCCTGACTTATATAGTTTTAATTAAGGAGGATAGCCATTTAATGTAGAAGAGCAAATGAACATAAGAAATAAGGATAAGTAAGATGGTTCGGTGGGTAAAGGTGTTTGCTGCCAAGCCTGACAACCTAAAAGACTGTCCTCTGACCTCTACATATTTGCCTTGGCACATGCACATCCACACATGCACACACACACACACACACACACACACACATCCATACACACACACACACACACACACACATGAACATACACACATCCATACACACTCGCAAAATAAATTAGTTAAACAGGAATATTTCAAAAAAGAGAATGATAAATAATTGTCAAAAACATATCAGGGAGTGCTTAAAAGAGGGTTCAGTCATTACGAGTAATTACTGCTCTTGCAGAGAGCCCTCATTTGACTCCCAACACCCACACATGGTGGCTCATAACTGTAACTCCAGTAGCAGGGGATCTGGTGCCCTCTTCTGGCTTCCATTAGCACTAGGCATGCATGTGGTGCACAGGCACACAAATAGCCAAACACTCATACACAGACAATAATAAATGGATACATTGTTTTGGGGGGAGGTTGCTTTTGGTTTTTGAGATAGTATTTCTTTGTGTACCCTTGGCTGTCCTGGAACTAACTCTCTCTGTAGACCAGGATGGCCTCGAACTCATAGATCTGACTGCCTGTGCCTCCAAGTGATGGGATTAAAGCCCTGAGCTACCATTGCCACCACAGCTAAGTCTTTAAGCTGTGAGTGTCCCCTGAGTATCTTTACCCATGTGTCCCACTGTTCTCATGTAGTGTAGTCTACATCTCTGCTCTAAATAAGATGACTACTATGAAGTGAGGCGGGGGTGGGGGGAGCTGTGTGGGCTTTATAGTGATGTAGTGAGAGGACCAAGCAAAATGAATGGCAGCGTAAGACCACATATCCCACCCAGCCATCAGAACACTCTTCTCGTTCATGTACATCTTCCCCATTCTATCACATGTTGGCTGTATTACCCTAGGAGAATGGCTTACAGCTCTTGGCCTTAGCTGGATGTGGTGGCTCACCTGGACTCCCAGCAGTTTGTGGCAGGGCCTCACAAGGTAGCCCAGGCTGCCCTTGAACTAAAGACTATTCTCCTTCCTCAGCCTTCGGTGCTGGGACTATGGGCACCGGCTATCATGCTCATCTTGAAACACAAAACTCAACCCCTAACTGCTTGCATTGGCAATGACCGCAGGAAGCAGCGCAGCAGTGAGAAAAGAATGCAGAGGATAGGCCACGCTTGCTGGGTTCCTGTGCTGGAGAGAGCCGCTGCAGCCGGAGAGTGCTGTGTGGCGAGTTAGCTAGCCTGCTTCAAGCAGGTGGCGCATTTACCTGCTTGTAAACAGCGTCTTTTTTTTTTTTTTGATAGCTGGGAGGAGCTTCAAGGGGACAGAATGAGGGGAGGGGCCTCAAGGGATGACTTTAGAGGGGGCATGCGAACCTCCAGCCTGGGAAGTAACCTACAGGATGTGATTTAATGAAAACCAATGTGGGGGGCTGGAGAGATGGCTCAGAGGTTAAGAGCACTGGCTGTTCTTCCCCAGGTCCTGAGTTCAATTCCCAGCAATGACATGGTGGTTCACAACCATCTGTAATGAGATCTGGTGCCCTCTTCTGGCCTGCAGGGATACATGCAGACAGAACACTGTATATATAATAAATAAAATAAATCCTTAAAAAAAAAAAGAAAAAAACCAATGTGTTCTCCTTATCCCCAAATATATATATATATATATATATATATATATATATATATATATATATATGAGAGGTACTGGGGATTGAACCTGGGGCTAATGCTCTGCTACTGAGCTATATTCCCAGCCAGCCATTATGGTTTTCTGGTTAAAAGCCTTAGTCTCACCAGTTTAGATACAAGTAATAGTTAGGAGATGTAGTAAACACAGGTCACCCAGCAACACAGAAAGACTTAACCTATCAGATTGCTCATCACCTGGGTGATAAGAAAAAAGGTACCAGGATCTAAGAGAAGCAAACAAGAGGAGAGTAAGAAAGGAAGTAGAAAAGACTATCGTTTGGGATGTGTCTCTGAGGCAAGGAGAAGGCAGGTCGGTAATGGGTACCGGAGGATGTAGATGGAGGATGTTGGTGAATGGGAGGACCTTCATCAGGCACTGTTTGGAGCTCTATTTGCTTTTACCTGTGGACCACAAGGTTTGAGGGTCACTAAAGTGCAGGACATGAGGACGTCTACACTATTACCTATATCTCCTGCTTCCCAGAGTTGAACTAGGCTATAAAAAATGTCAAGGATTGAAAGAAAAGCAAGCAGGTCCCTCAGGTCTTCCGACGCTGGCACAGTGCTAAAGGCTTAACAGACCCCGTGCATCAGTTCTGCCTCCTCAGACATGGTTCCTGTGAGCAAGTCCATTGCACCATGCAAAACATTCCCCTTTGGTCCAGCGTGTGAGAAAGTGTGTGCTTGCGCCCGTATGGGGTGGGGGGACTGTTTTTCTGTGTCCCTGGGCTTAGAATTCTCCTGTATGCCACCAGAGGGCAGCGTATTCATAGAAAGGCCTCGGCTCAGAAGTTCAGAACAGAGTAAATCTTCCTAGCAACAAGATGTAACAGGTTTCAGCCCAGGCCCTGGGAGTACATTGACTGTCCCTAGGATCCTACATACCTCACTTCCAGAGCAGTCCCTACCTGTGCACTCCTAGCTAGGGACATCAATCTACCTGCATTTCAGGTGTTTACCGTGTTAGAATCCCAAGATTCCCCACAACAGCCAAAGAGACACAGTCAGTAACAGGAGAAGGGAAAGGAAGGGGCGGGGGTGTGAGCCTGTTTCCCTCAGGTATACCCAAGCAAAAATCTGTTCTCTCCCCAGCTTCTCTTCTCTTCTCCTCTCCTCCTCCTCCTGCTCCTGCTCCTCCTCCTCCTCCTCCTCCTCCTCCTCTTCTTCTTCTTCTTCTTCTTCTTCTTCTTCTTCTTCTTCTTCCTCTCTCTCTCTCTCTCTCTCTCTCTCTCCTACAATGCAGCCCAAGTTAGCCTTGAACTCATAGTCCTCCTGTTTTGTCCTGTCTCCATTTCCAGAGTGTTGAAATTATAGGCGGGTACCACCATTCCTGGTCACTCTAGGATTTTTCTGTCTAGGCCACAAATGTGTGTGGACTGTAAGGAACACCCATGATTCATAAATTGGCCTAGCAAAATCCCAGAAAAAAGAAAATCAGACCGCTTCATCAGCGGGCAGGAGGCGGCTAGGCTGGTTTATAGTCGACAGGGATAGGCCAAAACATCCCATAGAAGACTCCAAATGTATTGAGCATCAGCCTTCAGGCTCCCTCGGTAAGCCCCACCCCCAAGTTGGGATGTGTACTCATAAGAACAGTTTTGGTCCCAGATGGGGGTGCGACCAGCACCAAAAACAGGGCAGGGTATTTCTGGTCTGTTGCTGATGGTTTGGGACGCCCTCTGCAGCAAAAGGGTTTGAAAGATCTTGCTGCGGAAGAAGGGAGAGTTGGGCATTAGGTGTTGACTCTGGTTAGTCCGGATTCTCCTCCTCTTCGGAGGTGAATTGCCTGAGTGAAGGTGGTTTCCAATAAGCCTTCCCTTTATTAAGCCACCTGCAGGAGAACGCGAGGCATCAGATTGACTGGCTGTGTCAGACAGTGTTAATGCCACACTCCAGGCCCTCACCTTGGTGGGTTGGGCAACCAAATCATTATATTACAATTTATAAATAGAAAATAAAATTATCGGGTGAGACTGGGGCACTGGGGAAGACGCAAAAAAAAGTCCTCATTAAAGAGTTGCCTATCAGCAAACCCAGTTATCAAGGACCCGAGGAGCACTCCTCTCAGCTAAAAGTTGCCCCTAAACCAATAAGTTCCAGTACAGCTCTTCTTTTTCTCTAGTCTCTTTCCATACCCACTTTCCCAATCACCTGTGCTGCTCACATCCCCAGATCTTAGCACGCCTCGGTTTCGGTTTCGCCCAGAGCCTGGAGTACTTCTATACTCGGATGCTCAGCCCATTAACTCCTCCGCCAAGCGGTAAAGTAGTCGAGAGTACCAATGCATGCCAGTCGGCTGGACCGCACCCCCGGGGAGCAACGCCCCGAGCGCGTGCAGCAGGCGCAAAGGCGCGAAGGCGCGGTGGGCCCACTGGTGACTCTCCAGAACCGCGTAACAGGAGGCGAGGACGTCGTTCACCAGCAGCGTCCCGTGCGCAGTGAGCGGTGCGAACACGCCCACTGCTTCCTCGCGGGCCACACGGGCTACGCGAGCCGGCCGGAGCGCGTCCCCGCCTGGAGCCAGCACCGAGTCCCCAGCGCGTAACCGGCGCGCGAACACCGGTGCAAAGTCACCAGGAGCCGGTGCTGGCCCACGAGCCGCGAACACCAGATGCCAGGGTGTGAGCAACAGTTTGCGCGGAGGCTGCTCGGTCTCCACAGCTACGAAAGAGGCGCGGCGCTGCAGGTCCCGGTCCAGGAAGAGTAGCACCGGCGTGGGCACCACCCGGCCCGCTGCATCGGCGGCCAGTACCCAGTCACCACGATGGAGTTCTCTCAGCCCCTTCCGCTCGCCGCTCCGCAGACGCACTGTGGCATTTCCCGGAAAGCAGCCGCCGGCTCGGACCGCCAGTGAGTTATCTGCAAGGAGGATTAAGACCAGATCAGCAAATACAAGAACAGATTCTAGAAGATGTGGGTGAAGCCCAACGCAGACCTCACTAGTCACGGGATATCGTTCAATTTCCAGGGATCTAGTCACACCTTGGGTGTAAATGGAAAAGTTGGTTTACAACACTACTGCCTGTTTGGTCCCTTGAGGGTAGCAAGGAGACTATCCCCCATGAAAACCCCCTTTGGATGGATCACCATCTGGCGTCTACTGTACCAGCTTTGACCGACACGTGGACGTGGTTTCGGGACTCGTAGTAGACCCAGTCGAAGCCTGCTTCCACTGCTAGGCGCGCCAGCAAACCATACTTATTGCGGTCACGGTCAGACGTGGTGATATCCAAGGCGCGGCCTTCATAGTGGAGTGAGTCCTGAGCGTGGTGGCCATCCTCGTCCCAGCCTTCAGTCACACGTAGGCGCACTCCGGGCCACATGTTCATCACCGCAATGGCTAGAGCGTTCACTCGCTCTTTGCAACGCTAGTGGGGGGAATAAGCAGCCAGTTTTCCCACTGCCACTACCATCACCACCGGGCAGGCGATGGGCAGGGTGAGGTGCAAGGGACCAGTAAGGCATCCGTGCATCCTTACTCTCTGGACCAAGTCCATTCCCTCCCGAGTTCTCAGTGTCCTGGGGAAGCAAGGGTCTGAATAGGTGTAGTCACCAATCTGTACTTGATTGCCAGGGCATGCTTAGAGAACCGAACCATGGAATTAACCCCTCTGAAGGTGAGAGGGTATCTCCATACCTAGTTATTTCCCCCCATTTTCAGTGCCTACATCTCACCCTTATTTGTCCCAGGACCTCAGTCCAATCAAAGAGAGACTCATAGGAGAGAGAGAGGATGAAAGTTTGGCTAGGGAGGGCCTGGCTCCCCGAATCGAGTCCTATTTAAGCCTGACCCCCGCCCTGGGCCCCAGTTGCCCTCCCTCCGTCTGATTCATCTTTTGTTTGGTTGCCTTCCCCAGCACTGGGCATCGCTTCCTTCCTTCCTTCCTTCCTTCCTCCTCCTCCTTTCAGCCTCTAGCATTAACCCATTGGTGGTCTGGGTGCGCCCCTACAGAGGTGCCCAAGAAGAGCCGCGTGGGATCAAGGCTGCTGGAAAAAGAGTCGGGTGGCGGGGGCTGCATAAAGTACAATGGCTATTCTCCCGGATGACTTAACTAAGCGAGAATCTCGGGCCGAGGCCGGGAACGCGTCGGGAGAAGCGGACTCAGCAGCTCCAGCTACAAAGGCGCTTTTCAGCCGCCCCGGCTCAGGGAGAGGAAAGGGCAGAACGCCGCGCCCCACATCCCTGCTCCCGCCCGCCAGGTCCCCTCCCCCAGCGTGGCCAGCCTGCCACTGTTTCAGTTCTGAGAGCCCCCCATCTCTCTCATCTCTGTTTCAGAATCAGCCCTTAGAGGCGTGGGAGGAGCAGCACCTGAGAATGGCAGGACCTACCTCCACCTCCCGCGCAGGGTGCGAGTGGAGGAAAAGGAGCCACAGACGCAGGCCTGCACCCCCGGGGGAGGGAGGCCACGGTTATCTTGGCGGCTCCCGTCTGGGAGTTGGAGACCTTGGCGCGCACCAGAGCCGCGACACCACGGGAGCAGCAGCGCAGGAGGAGCGCAGAGAACAACTTCTTTTTCTTTGTCCCTTTTCATCTCTCACCTCGAACATGGATTCTAAATGATTGCTAGAGGGGCATTCCCTACCCTCTTTTCTAGTCAGCTGCACCTCTGAAGAGGCGCTATACAAGTGGTACTCTTTCCAACTTCGTGTCGTTTTGTCCCCTAAGAAGGCCCTGACCTGCGGGGGCAGTAGCCCAGAACAGAGGAGCCAACTCAATAGAGTCCTTTTGCAGCCAGGGTGTGGGAGATAAGCAAGACTGGGTGTGTGTGTGTTGGGGGGGGGGGGTTGCCCGGGCCTTTGGAGGCCTCTTGAGCCTATCCCTTGTTCTGCCCCTCTGCTGCAGGTTTCAACCAGAGGGAAGCACTACAAGGCTCCATGGCCAAGGTGGAAAGGAATGCTCCTTTCTGATTTCTAGAAAGAGAATGACTTCATCCCTGGAGTGATTAGTTTTCACCCTTAACCACAGCAAGCAGGAGGTAGAGGCAGGAGGATTTCTGTGAGTTTTACATAGCAAGTTCCTGGCCCATAAGGGCTACATTAAAAAAAAAAAAAGAAAAAGAAAAAAATCCTTCTTCCCTGTACAGGTTTTCCTAACAAAGTAACCTGGAAAGCTATGGCAGTGAGAGGAAATCCGTACCCCTTCCTCTCCCCACCTCCCTACTGCACACACAATTAGGTGTTGTAATGGAAAGTATATAGGACTCGGAACCCTGAGTCCCAAATTCTAGTCTTGGCAACGCCATGAATTTAGCTGTGAGGCCCTGATTAAATTGCTTTTTCCCCCTGGGACCCACCTCTCAGATATAAGTGAGGGGCGGGGTGGGGGTGGAGAAATATGTCTTCTGAATTTCCTTTCAGTTCTGACATTCCAGGACGTGACCAGAGAAGGTTCTTTTCCAGGTCATGGTCCACCGTATTCCAGGCAGGTTCAGCACCCATCTGTAGCAGGTGCTCCATAACGGTAGTTGAATTTAATTATTTATTCGAGGCAAAGGTCTCACCATTCATCTATCTATTCCGAGGACGATTTTTTGCCCAAAGTCTCTCAAGACGGAGGACAATCCCTGACCACCCCATTCTCAGGAAGATGGTCTGGTAACCTGACTCTTGCCCATTCCTTTTTCAGCCCCCTTCTTTTTGACTCAGAACTTTTGGACATCAGGCCAAGAGCCAGGCTAAGCGTAAAGCCTTCTGTAGGCTACCTACCCTAGCCAGCTCCTGGCCCCCAGCTCACCCCAGCCCTTCCTGCCTGGCTCGGTGGCTGACCCCCGGTCCACGCCTCAGCCATTTCCCGTCTCGCCTGCCGCCATCCTCCTTTCCCCGCCCTCACTCCAGCCTCTCCCAGATTCACTCTCACTAGTCAGTTCCTCCTCCCCCTCCCCATCCCAGCCTTTGCCGTTTGGATTCCTCCAAACCACTACCAGCCAGCAGGTTATTTGCTTTCTTGAAGGATGTGATGAAGGAGGTCTTACTTTATTTTAGTTTAAGGCCTCGGGAGATAAAGTGACAGTTCATACCCGGGTAGGAAAACCGACGAGGAGTTACTGATGTGCAGGAGAGCAGGTGGGGAGAAGCGCTCCTTACCTCTGTCATCAGGCGGTCAGCCCCGCTGTTCTCCTCATCCTTGAAGATTATGTCGGGGTTGTAGTTGGGTACGAGGTCCCGGAAGCGCTCGGACCCCCTTGCTACCCTCCCCTCCGCTGGCCCACTCGCGCCAAGGGTCCGCTCGGGCACACTAGGCACAAACTGCTTGTACAGCAGAGGCACAAGCTGCTTGCGCACGTATCGCCGCCGGCCAACCGGTCCCCGGCCCGGCCCGCAGCTCTGGACAGACAGTGCCAGGAGTGCCAAGCAGCACAGGGGCAACAGACTGGCCCGCAGAGCCATGGGCACCGTGGAATTGGTTCAAAGGGGAGCGTTATGGTCCTCAGTAACTCTCCTGTCAATTGGACATCTCCACAAGAGCCAGCACCGCTGATAGAGAAGCAAGCTCCCAGGGTACCTGGAGCGCTGGTGGCTCCGAACACCTGGCAACCACTAATTGCCTACATGCCCCGGGGAACCTGGAACCTACCACTGATAGACTACCATTACAGGGCAGGTGGGTCGAGGGTGAGTGCCGACCCAGCCGGCCCCTGCTGCCCAGCTCCGGTGCTCCCAGAACCGCCCTGACCCCGCCTTAAGTGGTCCCTGGCCCCGCCCCCCGTCCTTCTCCCAGGACTGTCCCGCCCTCTCCCACCCAGGCGGGGGGATCAAGCGGTCACCACTGCTCCATTCTTCACTGAAGTGTGTCCCATCCTGGAAACCAGGCAGGCACCTGCTTAGGAAATCCTTGAAGCTTTACAGTCCTGGCTGCCTGGATAAGCATCCTTCTACCTCCGAGTCTAAATTAGGAACCAAACTATCTTCCTCTGCTAGTCTTTGCTCCCAAAGTCGACTCTGGCAGGCCATGCCCGCTGCTGTCATCCAGGAAGTCTGAGTTCCAATTTCTGCTTAAGGCCATCCAAGCCCTTTGGGCATACAATCAAAGCTTCCCTCCTCTGTGGTCCTCAGGTCTTCCTGGTTCTTCTCCCTCCACAGTCATCCATAACCAGAAGTGGATCCCAGAGTTTTCCTTGGTGAGTTTGTATCTTCTGAGGAACAGAGCTGGACTCTCACAAGTCAGTTTAGGGGTGATGTATGAGCGTGCATGCGCCACAACAGTGGAAGTCGGAGGAGTTTTGAAAATCAGCTTTCACTGTGGGCTCTAGGGATTAAACTCGGGTTCATCGGGTGTGGCAAGTCCTTTGACCTGCTCATCCATCTTGCCAGCCCAACGCTTTCCCAGCCCTGTGTCCCCTCAGTCTTTGCCAGGTACTCAAGGGTCACTTTTCATCCCTCTCCCTCCTTCTTGACACAATCTAATGTAGCGCAGGCTTGGTCTTGAACTCACATCACAGAAGGCTGACCTTGAAAGTTTTCTCCTCTGGTCTCCAGCTGCTTCCCAGAGGTGCACCACCACACTGGGTTTATGTGGTGGGGGCCAAAACCAGGGCCTTGGGCTGGAGAGATAGCTCAGCAGCTAGTAGTGCTGGCTCTTTTTCCAGAGGACCTGATTTTCTAGCACCCACATGGTGGCTAACTACCCTCTGTAACTCCAGCTGGGGAGCGTGGTCAATGCTGTCTTCTGGCCTCCTCAGACACCAGGCATGCAAGTGGTACACAGATATGCAAGCAAAACACCCATACATGTAAAACCTTTAAAATAAAAATAAAAAACCCAGCACCTCAAACATGCTAGGCAAGCACACAATTGATTTTTTTTAAAAGATTTATTTATTATGTATACAATATTCTGTCTGTGTGTATCCCTGCAGGCCAGAAGAAGGCACCAGATCTCATTACAGATGGTTGTGAGTCACCATATGGTTGCTGGGAATTGAACTCAGAACCCCTAGAAGAGCAGCCAGTGCTCTTAGGCTCTGAGCCATCCCTCCAGCCCCACACAATTGATTTTTATCAATTGAGATATATCCCTATTTCTCTGTTTTGTCTGAGACAGTCATTTGTAGCTGATCTGGCTTCAATTTGCTGTGTTAAGATGGCTGGCCCAAGGCCTGGTGGTGGCACACACCATTACAGGTGGATCTCTGTGAGGTCAAGGCCAGCCTGGTCTACAAAGCGGGTTTCAGGACTGCCATGGTTGTTATACAGAGAAACCCTGTCTCAAAATAACCAACCAACCAACCAAACAAACAAACAAACAAGATGGCCCTGAAATCCTGAGTACTTTACCCTGGACAATGCATTTTGATTAAGTAGTCATTTTGAAGCTGTTGAAAGGCAGTGGACACCTAAAATCTTGGTCTGTAAGAGGATGAGGATCAGTTCTCTTCACCTCGCATCCTCTATCTCGTCCCTCTGGATCGATTTCCAATTCTCCAGGCCTCTTCTCAGAGACACTTCTTTTTTTTTTTTTTTTTTTTTTAGTTTTTCGAGAAAGGGTTTCTCTGTAGCTTTGGAGCCTGTCCTGGCACTAGCTCTTGTAGACCAGGCTGGCCTCAAAATCAGAGATCCGCCTGCCTCTGCCTCCCGAGTGCTGGGATTAAAGGCGTGCGCCACCACCGCCCGGCTCAGAGACATTTCTTACCCACCAGTTCCTACCACTGAAGTCAGCTCCTCTGAGGATTGCAGCCTGCAGATGGACAGACTTCCTCATCCTCAGCCACATAGCTGTCTGCAGGGCTTTGTTGTTTTGATAAATAAAAAAGACCAGAAACCACTTGGGGAGAAAAGGATTTCAGCTTACAAACTCCAATCACAATCCATCATGAAGGGAAGTCAGGACAAGAATTTAAGGCTGGAGGGCTGACTCAGCAGCTAAGAGCACTGGCTGCTCCTCCTAAAGGACCCAGTTTCTGTTCCTAGCTCCCACATGGTGGTTCACAACCATCCAGAACTCCAGTTCCAGGGGATCTGACACTTTCTTCTGACCTCCCGGGGGACCAGGCGCGCTCATGGTAAACATACATATATGCAGGCAAAACACTCATATTAAAAAAAAAAAAGACAAAAATCCTGAGCGAGAGCCTCAAGGCAAGAACCTGGAAGGACCCAAAACAGGGCTTCTTCTGCCTGTTTTCTCAAGCAGCCTGGGACCACCTGCCCAGGGGTGGCACTGCCCATAGGAGGCTGGGCCCTTCTACATCAATGAAAGAAAATGCTCCACAGATTTGCCTACAGGCCAGTCTTACAGAGGGACTTTCCCAGGTTAGAGTCTTTCACAGGTATGTCTAGAGTTGTTTCAAGCTGACAAAACCAACCAGGACAATAACGTACCTTGAGTTTGCTACTGGAAGACAATTAAGGGTGGAGAGATGGATCACCTGCTTCTCTAAAAGACCAAGGTTTAATTCCCAGCACCCACTTGGCAGCTGATCAGCGGTCCATATCCCACACCAGGGGATACAATATCTTCTTCTGGCCTCCTCAGGCACTGAACCCATGTGGTGTGCAGATATACATTCAGGCACAACACTCAAGACATTAAAAAAAAAAAAACCTAAATAAAAACATTTTAAAGAGTTAGTTCGGGCCGGGCGGTGGTGGTGCACGCCTTTAATCCTAGCACTCGGGAGGCAGAGGCAGGCGGATCTCTGTGAGTTCGAGACCAGCCTGGTCTACAGAGCTAGTTCCAGGACAGGCTCCAAAAACCACAGAGAAACCCTGTCCCAAAAAACCAAAAAAAAAAAAAGAGTTAGTTCGGGGCTGGAGAAATGGCTCAGAGATTAAGAGCATTGCCTGCTCTACCAAAGATCCTGAGTTCAATTCCCAGCAACCACATGGTGGCTCACAACCATCTGGAATGGGGTCTGGTGCCCTCTTCTGGCCTGCAGGCATAGACACAGACAGAATATTGTATACATAATATATATATATATATATTTATTTATATTTATATTTTAAAGAGTTAGTTTTAGGACAGGCTCCAAAGCTACAGAGAAACCCTCTCTCGAAAAACCAAAAACTAACTAAATAAATAAAAATGTAGACACCAGTAATTGGAGAGAGTGGAATCTCATTTGCATCTTAATAAATAAAGCTTGCCTGAAAATCAGAGAGTAAAACATCCACACTGGTCAGCCTTACAGACCAGGCAGTGGTAACACACACACTAGTTGCCATAGAAATTGGGTGGTACATGCCTTTAATCCCAGTCCTACAGAGGATTATAAAACAGGAGACAGCTCTCAGACACAGTCTCATTCTGAGATTCCTGGAGGCAGGATCACTATTTTCAGACTGAGGTCGAGGTAAGAGCTAGTGGCTGGCCGCTTTGCTTTTCTGGTCTTCAATATCAGTCTGAGCTTGTATTAATCGTACTTCAATGTTCCAGCATGTAAGAGTACTTTCTGCTCTTACCAAAGACCCAAGTTTCTCCTAGCTCACAACTGACTGTAACTCTGTCTCCATGGCAGCACCCTCCCTCTCTGGGACACATGTCCACGCACAAACCTGGATAAATAAGAGCCAAGCTTTTGTGCTGGGAAGCACAAAAAAAAGCAGTTAAGAGCACTTACTGTTATTGCAGACCTGTGTTTGGCTCTTAGTGTCCACTTGGTGGCTCACAACTTCCAGTAATTCCAGTGATGCCCCCTTCTGGACACTAGGAGGCATCACACATGCACACAGTACATACACATACTTACACACAGACATTCATACATGAGAACTATAAGCAGATATCTATTATTTATTTTGGTTTTTGAGGCAGGGTTTCTCTGTGTAGCCTTGACTGTCCTGGACTCACTTTGTAGTTCAAGTCTGGATTTGAATTCACAGATCCGCCTGCCTCTGCCTTTCGATTGCTAGGATAAAAGGCGTGAACCATAACTGCCAGGCTAAAAGCAAATCTTAAAAAAAAAAAAAATTGAGGTCGGGTGGTGGTGGCCTACGTCTTTAATCCCAGCACTCAGGAGGCAGAGGCAGGCAGATCTCTCTGATCAAAATCAGACTGGTCTACAAGAGCTAGTTTCAGGATAGGTTCCAAAACTATAGAGAAAACAAACCCTGCCTCAAAAACCCAAAAATAAATAAATAAAATTAAAAAATTGAAGCCCTGCATTGGTGGTGGTGCACGCCTTTAATCCAAGCACTTGGGAAGCAGAGGCAGTTGGCCTGGACTACAGAGTAAGTTCCAGGAATTCTAGGTCTGATACACAGAGAAACCCTGTTTCAAAAAAAAAAAAAAAAAAACAACAACAACAACAAAAAAAACCCAAACAGGGCTAGAGAGATGGCTCAGAGGTTAAGAGCACTGGCTGTTCTTCCAGAGGTCCTGAGTTCAATTCCCAGCAACCCACATGGTGGCTCACAACCATCTGTAATGAGATCTGATGCCCACTTCTAGTGTGCAGTATACAGAATACTGTATGCTTAATAAATAAATAAAAATCCTTAAAAAAACAAATAAACAAAAATTCTAAGATAAGGTCTTTCTAGTATCTCTGACTGTCCTGGAACTTACTATATAGATTAGATTAGCCTTGAACTCAGAGATCTACAGGCCTCTGCTTCCCACAAGCAGAGATTAAAGGTAAGGACCAGGTATACTGGTCCACACCTTTTTGGTTGTTTGGCTTTTTTTTTTAAAGGGGGCTGATTGGCAACAGCTGTGATTTGGAGGCCAACCTGGACTATATAATGAGACCTCAAAACAAAACAGGGCTGAGGAGATGGTTCAATACGTAAAACCACTTGTCACCAAGCCTGATTCCAATCCAGACTCACATGGTGGAGGGAGAGAAACAAAACAGGCTGTCCTCTGGTGTCTACACTCACACCATAGTATGCCCATGCACACGTGTGCAAAATAAACAATACAAATTAAGAACGAAAAACTTTCCTGATGTCCTGACACTGTGACCCATGTGCTCCTGTGGGGCAGCAATTAACTGCTACAGCACTTCAAGTGTTAGAGTTCTACATCCTTTCAGACAAAGCAATTCCTCAGCTCAAGCTTGTTTATCATGTATTTCCAAGGCCGTCTAGCTTAAAGTACTGAACTTGGCAAGTACTTGTGGAATCTACACTTTTTTGTATTCCATGCTCCCCCTCCCTTCGCCCAGTTCCAAGGAGAGACGACTTTCCACGAACTAGGAGAACAAAAGGAGGAGAAAAACTCCTTTCTGACATCTGGCTTCCGCTCACAAGGAAGTGGTTGTGGCCACAGCAATGTAGCTCAATGGCAGAGCAAGTGCCTAGCAAGTAAGAGGTCCTGGATCTGACACCTTCTGCCCCAGGGCTGGAGAGGTCAGCAGGGCTAGCTCAGCAGACAGAGGCATTTGCTGTGTTTGGTTCCCCAGAATCCATACACTGGAAGAACTGACTCCTCAAGTTGCCTTGTAAACTCCACACACACCATGATATTCCAATCCCAATAATTGAATATTTAAAAAATTCTAGAGCCGAGCCAGACAGTGGTGGCGTACACCTTTAATCCCAGCGTTTGGGAGGCAGAGGTGGGCAGATCTCACTGAGTTCGGGGCCAGCCTGGTCTACAAAGAGAGTTTCAGGGACAGCCAGGACTATTACACAGAGAAACCCTGTTTTGAAAAACAACAAAAATTCCTAGGGCCAGATGTGGCGGCACATGCCTTTAATCCCAGCACTAATTAGGCAGGAACAGGTGGATCTTTGTGAGTTTGAGGCCAGCCTGATCAACACAGTGAGTTCCAGGACATCCAGGGGCTACACATAGGGACTCTGTGTCAAACAAAACAAAAACTAGTAATTTCAAATAACTGTGAGGGATATGGTCACTTTTGAAGTATGCCATGTATAATCTGAAGAAGTCTACAGATTTGTTCCTCAACAAAACTGAAGTCGGGTCCTTTTCTGGGGTAGAAATAAAAAAACTGCCAGCCAGGCCAGGTGGTGGTGGTGCATGCCTTTAATCCCAGCATTTGGGAGGCAGAGGCAGGAGTTCGAGGCCAGCCTGGTCTATAAGAGCTGGTTCTAGGACAGGCTCCAAAGCTACCGAGAAACCCTGTCTCAAAAAACAAAACAAAACTACAAAACACTGCTAGCCAATCACTTTACTCTACAGCTAATTGTTAAGTATGGGTCCCGGTCAGGGCTGAGGGTGAACAAAGGATGGGTCTCCTATTAGTGCCCATTCCCTAGCACCCCAATTCCCCAGGCATATAAACAAAACCCCAAGTAATAGGGTGCATCCAGGAGACTAGCCAACATTTTTTTTTTTTTTTTTTTGGTTTTTCGAGACAGGGTTTCTCTGTGGTTTTGGAGCCTGTCCTGGAACTAGCTCTTGTAGACCAGGCTGGTCTCGAACTCACAGAGATCCACCTGCCTCTGCCTCCCGAGTGCTGGGACATTTTTTTTTTTTAAATGTCTCACCGTGTAATCTTGGCTGGTTTGGAACTTGCAATGTAGACTAGGTTAACCTCAAAAAAATCAGAGAACCCGACTCCTGAGTGCTGGGGTTGAAGGTGTAGGCCAACTTGAAGTAAAGGTAAGGGAAGAATATCATCTCTGCATTGGAAGCGCAGAGGGGAAGGAAGGCTTCTCCTGGGTACTCAGGACCAGCCAGGACAAGTGGTATAGACACAGAGACAGGCTCTTTATAAAAAACCAAGAGAACCCTGGGATGAACTTTATTGCTGAGGGGCGCAGCTCTCCCTCACTGCACCTTGGTCTCTCCAGTGGTCCAAAGCCCCTCCATAGGATAACACAGTGCTTAGGCTCTGCTGGGTCTCCACCGCACCCCAGCCGGGCCCTTCCCACTCCCACCCACCCTATTGCACATCATTATGTAAACAAGGCTTCAGGCATGGCCTGGAACAGGATTGAGGCAGATTGATGTGTAAACGGATTTGGGACCAGGAACTAGAGCCAGTCCCCCAGCTCACCTCGTGCTGAGGCCACAGCTACATCTGAAAAGGCAGGAGGCTGGTCCCAAACTCTGGCTCAGATTATACAGCAGTCAGGTGGTTCAGTTCCCTCCTCCAACCACCCTCTCAGATTCCTGGTCCTGAGGTCCAACCACCCTGGCTTGCCTCCAGTTTTCTCCTTCTCAACCCCTAGCAGGAGGTCACTGGTGCTGTTTCTTCCTGGAAGCCCGGGGAAAACCAGAGACAGGCAAGGGTAGCCTGTCCAGCCCTGGAAAAGAGAAGTGGACATGGGTCTCTCCTCAGAGGTGAGGCAATCAGGGCATACACGGGGTAAACGAGACAGGTGATCTACAAATAGGTAGTGCACTCTCCCCTGCTGGGGTCTCTTCCCTGCTGGGGTCTCTTCCCTGCTGGGGCTACCCTCGGTTCTGAATGAACTTCCCCAGCCCAGGAGTCTCACCCTCTTACCAAAGGCTCGGATCAGCTCTGCTCTCACAGCTGCAGTGAAGGTCTTCACCAGACAGAGTGTGGTGAGGCCAGCAAAGGCTGCATTATAAAGGAACACGATGTAGAAATTGCCCAGCCAGTTGAAGCGTCCAAAGTCACCCAGCAGGTCAAAGCGAGTCAGCCCTGAAGTACAAAATTTATAATGAGAAAGGGGAATCCCCAAAAACCTCTCCTCAAAGGAGCCCAACTTTCTGCTGCCCCCTGGTGGCCAAATCTGAACATCACATCGTCTAGCATGTCTGTGTATGTATTATTACTCTCAAGCCCATTCCCAGGTCAGTTCAGGACTATTAAATGCATCAGCAGCTAAATTTGCTCCTATTCCTCCTTCCAGAGACTCGAATCTTTTCCTTCAGCTGGACTGCCTCTAGCCTCGGGGACTTCTAGGAGTTCCCAGTATGGCAAGTGCTTCGAATCTAAGAATCTACAAGTTTGCTATTAAGTTTTAAGTATTGAGCCGGGCGGTGGTGGCACACGCCTTTAATCCCAGCACTCGGGAGGCAAAGGCAGGCGGATCTCTGTGAGTTCGAGGTCAGCCTGGTCTACAAGAGCTAGTTCCAGGACAGGAACCAAAAGCTAAGGAGAAACCCTGTCTCGAAAAATCAAAAAAAAAAAAAAAAAAAAAAAAAGTTTTCAGTATTGACTGCTCTTCCAAAGATCCTGAGTTCAATTCCCGGCAACCACATGGTGGCTCACAACCATCTGTAATGAGGTCTGGTGCCCTCTTCTGGCCTGTAGACATACACACAGACAGAATATTGTATATATAATAAATAAATAAATATTTTTTTTAAAAAAAGTTTTCAGTAGTGTACAGTTTAGCAGCTAAGAAAGACTAAGCTGACTGAAAACTATCATCACGCTGTTGTTTTGTTTTGAGACAGGGTTTCTCTGTGTAACAGCTCTAGCTGTCCTGGAACTAGCTCTTGTAGACCAGGCTGGCCTCAAACTCACAGAAATCCACCTGCCTCTGCCTCCCAAGTTCTGGGATTAAAGGCGTGTGCCACCATCACCCAGTTTGTTTTGTTTTTTCAATTCCACTTCTAGATAGCTGGGTGATCACAGCAAGTTCCTTAAATGTTCTGGGCCTCAATTTTCTCAATTTTAAAACAGAGAAAACAAGGGGGCTATAACAGTTATGGCAAACACACATTTACTTGTTTGTCCCAGGCACTGTTACAATCTCCCACGCCCCTTCTTTCCCTCCATTGAGACAGTCTTCTGTGTTCCAGCCAGGCTGCATCATATGGCTGAGGATGAATAAGAACTTGTGATTCCCCCGCCTCGAGACAGGGTTTCTCTGTGTAACAGCTCTGGCTGTACTGGAACTCGATCTGTAGACCAGGCTGGTTTCGAAATCAGAGATCTGCTTGCCTCTGCCTTCCAAGTGCTGGGATTAAAGGTGTGCACCACCATAGTCTGGCTCCTGCCCTCTTCTAGCCTCTTCTGGAGCCAGACACAGAAATGGTGCAGATAAACACGCACATAAAACAAAGGAAACCAAAAACGGACACCAAAAGCTAAGTACAGGCCTTTATGAAGCTACACTGTTTCCATCTATATGTGGGGTAGCAGATCTTCACGGGTGTTTGTGGAAATTAGGGGGCATATCTAATTACAGAGCATTTTTCCTTTCTCTGTGTGTGTCCCTCTGTGTACATGGGTGTGTGAGTGCCTATATGCAGAGGTCGAAGACAACTTGAAAGAGTTGGTTCTCTCCTCCCTTGCGGGTTCCAGGGAGTGAACTCCAATCAACAGGCTTGATGGTGGCAACTGCCTTTACCAAGTCATCCCTGACCCTTGAATACCTTTTCTGAGTACACACTCAAAGAAAGAGAGGGGGGGGGGGAAAGAAGAAGAAGAAGAAGAAGAAGAAGAAGAAGAAGAAGAAGAAGAAGAGAAAAAGAAAAAGAGAAAAGCCAGGGGGCTAGAGAGATGGCTCAGTGGTTAAGAGCACGGCTGTTCTTCCAGAGGACCCAGGTTCAGTTCTCAGTACCTGCATGGCAGTTCACAACTGCCTATAACTCCAGTTCCAGAGGATCTGACCCCTCACACAAGCATCCACATGCAGGCAAAACACGAATGCACACATCAACAAACAAACAAACAAACAAATTCTAGGGCTGGAGAGATGGCTCAGTAGTTAAGAGCACTTGTTGCCCTCACAGAGGGAGGACCTGGGTCAGCGCCCAGCAGCGACCAGTGCCTCACAATCACCGGTATCTCCACAGCGGAGGCATTTGACCTCCACAGGCACCATGCAGGCACGAGGTACGCAAACACACATACAGACAAAGCACTCATACACCCCTATGTAGCAGAGGCTTGGCTGACACCCCACAAAGCCCAGACTGGCCTTTAAACCTCTTTTTTTTTTTTTTTAATTGATATTAAGGCTAAGCTCTACATTTTTCTCTGCTCCCCTCCCTGCCTCTCCCCTCCCCTTCAGCCCTCTCCCATGGTCCCCAAGCTCCCAATTTACTCAGGAGATCTTATCTTTTTCTACTTCCCATGTTGTCTAAGTTCTCTGTGATTGTGGTTTGTAGGCTGTAAACCTCTTTTTTGTTTGTTTGTTTTTTGAGACAGGGTTTCTCTGTCTGTGTAGCCCTGGCTATCCTGGAACTCACTCTGTAAACCAGGCTGGCTTCGAACTCATGGAGATCCACCTGCCTCTGCCTCCCGAGTGCTGGGATTAAAGGCGTGCGCCACCACCACCAGGTGTAAACCTCATTTTCTAAAGCTGTGAAACAAGCCAATTCCCTTTCCTACCTTCAGTACTTACCAAGGGTTCGGGAGAAGACAGGAAGTGCTGAGCTTAGGACCAAGAGGCAGACACAATTCCCAATTATCTGGGTGAGAGAAAAGAAAGAAGAAGCAAGTCAGGCGGTGGTGGCACACGCCTTTAATCCCAGTACTCGGGAGGCAGAGGCAGGTGGATCTCTGTGAGTTTGAGGCCAACCTGGTCTACAGGAGCTAGTTCTAGGACAGCTAGGACTATTACAGAGAAACTCTGTCTGAAAACACCCCCCCAAAAAACCCAACACCCCCAAAACAAAACAAACAAACAAACAAAAAAAAACCCAAAAGCAAGCCAAACCAAAAAGTAAAGGAAAAAGAGGCAAAAGTAGCAAGAGTTGCCAGCATTCTCAGGAGGCAGAAGCAGGCGGCAGAGCTCTGTAAGTTCGAGGCCAACGTGGTCAGGACAGCCAGGGCTATAGAGAGAAGCCCTGCTGTGGGGCGGGGTTGCCAACGCCCAGCTCATCCATTCCCTAGGCTTCTCCTCGTCCTCCCGTACCTGTGTCATGGCTGTGTCTTGCCATCTGGGCCTCAGGCTTCGGAAGAGTGGAGAACTGTAGAAGCCCACGACCGAGGACACCATCAGGTAACCGCAACTGGGTTAGGGAAGAGCTAGCCAACCTCTAAGAAGGACTGCCTGCCTCAGACTCCTCAGACCCCTTTTCAAGGCGAAGCTTTCCTGTGTGGCGTGTGTCCGCGTGTATGCAGAGGCCACAGGTCAGGCTGGGCGTCTTCTCCGCTCATTATTAACTTTATTTACTGCTGTTGGGTCAGTTCTCACGCTACTGTGAGTTCCCAGGGACAGCACTCAGGTTCTCAGGCTTACACAGTGGGCACTTTTACCCACTCTGTGCATACGTGTGTGGGGTGTGTGCACACGAATGTGGATGCCTGCAGAGGCCAGAAGAGGGCGTCAGATGCTCTGGAGCTGGACTTACAGAAGGTTGTGAGCTACCTGACCCAGGTGCTGGGAACTGAATTTGGGTGCTTTTACAAGAGCACTAACCCCCGCAACTGCTGAGTCCTCTCTCGGCTCTCCTGGCCATCTAGCAAGCCCACTATCTTACTATCTTTTGAGACAGGCTATTTCAAGCCTAGAACTTACCAGTTTGGCTATACTGGCTCTTGAACACACTACCTGGATCTTCCTGTCTCTGCCTCCCCAGCACTGGACTACAGGCAGATGCTCTTAACTGACTGAGTTATCTCCCCAGTCCTCAAGATCAGGTAATTTCCTTGTCTGAACCCAAGTTAGATGAAGATTAGCCCCTCCCTACCATTCTTCACCCCAGCATTCCCAAGGAGTCTACTAGGAGGCAGGTTTGGTAAGCAGAAGCCACGGGGGTTTCCAGAAGGATACAAGATCAACACAACCTGGATGATGGCACCAAAGGATCCCAGTTTGGAGAAGGAGACCTGGCCCAGGGAGGCATCCTGTGGGGGTGGGGTGACATGATTGAGGGACATTCCCACTCTGAGTACCACCAGCCCCACCCAGTCTTCCCTCTGTCCTCAGCTTCTGTCTCCCTCTCCAACCTCCGCCCACGCTGTAGCCCAGTGTAGCCCATTCTGTCCTGAAACTTGTGGCAATCCACCTCCTACGTGCTAGGGTAACAGGCACATGACAGCATATCCAGCTTCCCTAGCCTTTCTTAAGCCCTCCCCAAAAGAAGCGGGAAGAGAGCCCTGTACCTGCATGCCCCGTGGCATGGCAGCCTCGTCAATGAGCAGCTCCAGGATGTTGATGGCCACAAGAAGCACAGACAGGCCCTGTGCGGAGCAAGGTCACCAACTCCCATGATCCCTGCTCCAGCCCACAGCGTGCTCTGAGCTCAATGTTAGAGCATTCCCTTCAGTACAATGTTTTCAGCTGCAAGAGTAGCTCTGCTTCCAAGCAGCTTTAGGGGCCTAGAGCTGCTGCTAGCAACACAGCACTTTGAGGAGACTACTGGACGAACTGCTTCCAACAGGTGCCTACACCAGCCTACCTACAGAGTACACCGTGGGCTGGGTCAGCCTACCTATAGAGTACACTGTGGGGCCAGCCTACCTACAGAGTACACCGTGGGCTGGGGCCAGCCTACCTATAGAGTACACTGTGGGGCCAGCCTACCTACAGAGTACACTGTGGGCTGGGGCCAGCCTACCTATAGAGTACACTGTGGGCTGGGTCAGCCTATCTACAGAGTACACTGTGGGCTGGGGTCAGCCTACCTAACAGAGTACACTGTGGGCTGGGGCCAGCCTACCTATAGAGTACACTGTGGGGCCAGCCTACCTATAGAGTACACTGTGGGGCCAGCCTACCTATAGAGTACACTGTGGGGCCAGCCTACCTACAGAGTACACTGTGGGCTGGGGCCAGCCTACCTATAGAGTACACTGTGGGCTGGGTCAGCCTACCTACAGAGTACACCGTGGGCTGGGGCCAGCCTACCTATAGAGTACACTGTGGGCTGGGTCAGCCTACCTACAGAGTACACCGTGGGCTGGGGCCAGCCTACCTATAGAGTACACTGTGGGCTGGGGCCAGCCTACCTATAGAGTACACTGTGGGGCCAGCCTACCTATAGAGTACACTGTGGGCTGGGGCCAGCCTACCTACAGAGTACACCGTGAGCTGGGGCCAGCCTACCTATAGAGTACACTGTGGGCTGGGTCAGCCTACCTATAGAGTACACTGTGGGCTGGGTCAGCCTACCTATAGAGTACACCGTGGGCTGGGGCCAGCCTACCTATAGAGTACACTGTGGGCTGGGTCAGCCTACCTATAGAGTACACTGTGGGCTGGGGCCAGCCTACCTATAGAGTACACTGTGGGGCCAGCCTACCTATAGAGTACACTGTGGGCTGGGTCAGCCTACCTATAGAGTACACCGTGGGCTGGGGCCAGCCTACCTATAGAGTACACTGTGGGCTGGGGTCAGCCTACCTATAGAGTACACTGTGGGCTGGGTCAGCCTACCTACAGAGTACACTGTGGGCTGGGGTCAGCCTACCTATAGAGTACACTGTGGGCTGGGTCAGCCTACCTATAGAGCACACCGTGGGCTGAGGAAGGCTCTGCAGAGCAACACACACACACACACACACACACACACACACACACTGAGGAAATGACCTAGGCAAAGGTACCATTTCCCCTAAAATTATTCCTCAAGTCCTAATCCAGCACAGGAGAGACACGAGATTTCAACCTTTAGCCTCTTTCTGTGTACTTTCTCAATGACCTTGTGTGACTTGGGGCAAGCCAGTTGTATTTCTCCATCCACAAGACGGGAATTAATGCTCTGAGCACAGGACATAAAGCAGGCCCTCTGAGAGGCAACTGCTGCTATGGATGACAACCACATCGACGCGTATCTCTGTCCTCCCTGAGGATCCACTTATACCCCGCCCCACCAAGGGGTGCTATGCTAGCAAACGCACCGTCAGCAACAGCAGACACAGCATGGCCAGAGGATAGCCCAGGTTCCGCTGCCAGGCTGAAGCCTTCCGCCGTTTTTCTGTGCAGGGGTGGGAGGTGGTTAGCGAGTACTTGAAACAAGGAACTACTCTCCCTGGGAAAAGCACCAGTCCACATACCCAAGAGGACCCTCTGGGTCTGCAGAGCCAGGACCTGTCTGTGCAGCAGCTCCATGTCTAAAGGCAGCCAGCAGGAGGTGGGATCTGAGGGCAGAGAACACACTTCCCTCCAGTGCTTGCCAAGGCCAGTCCACCACCCAGGCAAAGGAGCGTTTAAACTCACTGCAGATTCTTCGAGTCAGAGCTGCCTCCTCAAACACCGAACAGTTCAGCTGTTCCTCCAGATCTTCCAGTAACTGAGGGCAGGGGACAGGAGGCTGCTGTCAGAGGCTCTCTGACCCCAACATCCCTCTACAGTCCCAGTCTTGGTCTAACTCTGCTTCACCACCCCATGCCTAGAAGCTTTGTCCTATTCCTTCCAATTCCTTGCGTTCTGACCAGCTCCAGATGATGGGGCAAAGGACACAACGCCGACCAAGGGTCTGGCCTTCTGCAAGTTGTGCACAACACAACCGTGGGTTCATTTTGCGGCTTGGCCTCAGATGTAAAACATCCACCCTGTACAAAAAGCAAGGAGCACCACGTACCCGGGGCTTGACCAGCAACTTCCCAGTGACAGAGAACATGCGGGCGAGACCTAGTGGAGTGCACACTGTGGGGACAGGAGCATGTCAGTCACTCCCTCTCCCTCCCCAGCCCTCTCCTCCGCCCTGGCTGCTTTTTCCCTCCCCACTTTGCACTCACCCAGGAGCAGGAGCACTCCGAGGAAGGAGATGCAGGAGTAGAGGTAGGGGAGGTAGTACTCCCAGAAGTCTAAAGACAAGAAAAGAAGTCAGCTTGTCTTACTTCTCCTGAGTCCTAGGAAGTGACAGGGCTCAGTCCACACAAGAACACAATGCAAACACCTCCAGGCTATAGGCAAGTAACTACTGGGGAGTGCTGGGCAAACTGGAGATCCTCATTTATATGAAAGGCAGGCACAGCTGCTATCTGGCCCAGGGGAACAGGGTTAAGTAGTCAGAGCCTCGATTCTAAAATGGGAGGCTGGGTATGGTGGCACATGCCTGTAACCCCAGCAGAAGCAGGAGGTCGAGGCAGAAGATTTCAAAGCCAGCCTGGGTTTTACAGTGAACAATTGGTTATCTATTATCTATTATTTTTAACCAATGTCTATGCAGCTCTGGCTAGCCTTGAACTCACAGAGATCAACCTGCCTCAGTCTCCTGAATGCTGTAATTAAAATTACATGCTATCATCCTGGCTGATTATTTAGTTTCTAAAATCACTGCATGGACGCAGGGGAATATTTCTATATGTTAGATGTGTTCAAAGTCTATCAGTTTGGAACTTCAGTCTACAGAAATGATGCCAGTTTTTTCCACAGCTGATCAAATGCACATTGCCAACTCAAGAGCCAGCATTTTTTTTTTTCTTTTAAGATAGAATCTTAGCTGGGTGATGGCAGCAAACACCTTTAATATCAGGATGTTAAGAGGCAGAAGCAAGCAGATCTCTGGGAGTTCAAGAACAGCCAGTTTCTTTAAGTAAACAAAGAAACACTGTGGGGTGGGGAGCCAGGCGGTATTGGCGCCCGCCTTTAATCCCAGCAGACAGATCTCTGGGAGTCCGAGGCCAGCCTGGTCCACAAGAGCTAGTTCTAAAACAGACTCCAAAGCTACAGAGAAACCCTGCCTCAAAATAAAACAAAACAAATCTTCAAAAAAAGAGGAAAAAGCTGGAGCTCTATTAAGGTTTGGATACAAAATGGTCTTTCAAAACGTGAGCATTGAAGACCTGGTCTCCGTTACAACGTGCAGAGGCGTGCTCTTAGGAAGTGACTAGAGCTAGAATTTTGGCCATCCACGGGTTTATAAACTTTGCTCCAGCACGTGCATCTTGCCATGAAGTTCTGCTTCACCACAGCCCAGAAACCAGAACTGAATGACCACAGACTAAAGCCTCTGAACCCAGGACTGTTCCTCCTTTGAATCACAGTGACGGAAAGTTTAACTCTTACCATAGAGCGACTCCCTGCTGGCCTTATCATTATCTACAATGGCTGACGCCACCCACACCATGCCCAGCACAAGCAGAGTGAGAAGTATCAACATCACCACTGTCTCGTAGACCCGGCCCAGGACACCCTGCAGGATGAAGAGACGGGTAAAGCACAGGGGTCAACCACACATCAGAGCTATGCCTGGGCTTGAGGCACCAAGGAGGTCTGGATTCAGTAGACAAGAGGGAGTGTTTCTCTCTAATTCTGAATCGCTCAGCCGCCTAGCGTCCAGGTCATTCCACATTCTGGGGATTCACTTGAAATCCCACCCTCCAATCATTCAGTCTCGTCTGCTCCAAGGAGAGACAGCCATGAGGTCAGCACCACACAGGCTCTCTGCTCTCTGCCTTGGGCACAGCCTGCCCATGCAGGGGTCAGCAGGGAAGTGCAAGGGGCGGAGCACGTCTGGGGCTTCCTATGCTTTCTCTCACCTTTGGCATACTGGTTTCCAGCAGCAGCTACATAAAACACTTAACTCTTTTGCTAAATGAGCTCCTATTCTCAATTTTAACTACCAGTGGTTCTAGAAATGCCCCACAGGCTTGGGGTCACAATGACTTCTCATGCTGCGACAGCCTCAGACTCCTTGTCCCATCCCTTAACTCTGACTGAAGTCTGCAATTTCTCCCTAGAGTATGAGTTCTGCTTCTGGCCTGAGCTCTTATGTTTCCTCACTTACCTTTCTGGAGCCAGCGAAGCCCTCAGACTCTGTGAAGAAATACGCAAAGGGCATAAGGAAGATGAGAGACAGGTTGGAGAAGAGAAAAACGAGGTTCCAAAGACCTAGAGCCAAAAAGGAAAAGCAGAGTTGGTCATTAAGGGGCCAATCAAGGTGGGCAACATGATTGATTAGCCCAAGGCTGCCTAATTACCTTCCCTGCTCCCTACCCCAAGCTCCAGTCCAGACCACATACCATGGATGAGGGAGCCGTTGAGCCACTGGATATAGTAGTTCCTTGGCAACGAGAGCAATACCTCATTGCTGATGATGGAGAAAGGCAAAAGTAAGACGGCACCCAGGGCGACTGCCAGGGTAAAGGTGCACAGCTCCAGCCTAAGAGGAAAGGACGGGTCAGCCCAGCACTCGCTGACCTACTGCCCTACAAGCCCCACTTTCCCCCAAGACTTCTACTTCTAGAACCAGCAGGAGGGACAGGAGGGAGCTATCCAGCTGGGCTCTGCCCACTGCCACCTCACCCTAGTCCTTACCTACAGAGTAGCCTCGGCAGCTGGGATAGAGGCTGGGATAGACGCCACCTTAGGTAGTCACAGGCCCCTAATCACCAGCTATGTCACTTGTTTAGGCTATCCCAGGAATGCCATCTTCCCATCCATGCCTACAGGGCATGCCAGGAATGCTAACAAAGCAAGAACGTGGCTCCTCCTCTCTGCTTAGGGATACAGATTTCTGAGCTTGCCTTTTCTGTGTGGATAAGCACTCAGTCTCCATATGGCTATGCCCTTTAAGAAGGCATTAGTGAGAGAATAAAGACAAGCTAAAACCCAACTTCATAAGCAAGGCCTGTGCCATGGCTGTGCCAGCTGGGAACACATTCAGAAAAGGAGAGTGCTGCCTTCTAGTCTGTCAGTCCAGAGCATTCCTGGCATGCCCTGTAGGCATGGATGGGAAGATGGCATTCCTGGGATAGCCTAAACAAGTGACATAGCTGGTGATTAGGGGCCTATGACTACCTAAGGTGGCGTATTTCCTCTGTATGTGTTGCGGGTGAATGGGAACTGTCCATGGGGGCTGGAGAAATGGCTCAGCAGTTAAGAGCACTGACTGGTCTTCCTGAAGACCTGGGTTCAATTCCCGGCACCTACATGGCAGCTCACAGGTGTCGGGGACTCCAGGTCTAGGGGACTCAACATCCATGGCAAAACACAAATGTATATAAAATAAAAATAAATAAGATTTAAAAAAAAATATACACGATAAGGGCCTTCCTCTAACAACCAATCACTTTTGTCTTCAGGGTGTTTTGTGTGTGTCTGTGTGTGTGGTGGTGGGGTATTCAAGACAGGGTTTCTCTGATTCCTCAGGGGTTTTCGATCTTCACCAAAGCCTGCCCTGTTTCCTCCATTAGCCTGTCTCCCTCTTCCATTCCCCACCCACATTGACTGTTAGGAGGTGAAGCCAAGCTGAAGCCATTTCCTGGTGACTCAGGCCCCAGCCAATATCCACATCATGAAGCTCCCGGCCCAACCAGGGAGACAGGAACAGCAGCTTTTCTGAACATCCCAAGCAAGCATAGGGCAAAGCCAGAAGAAGCCAGAAATAGGGTGGAAGTAGGAACTCCTCTTGGATGGATGACGGCTCCTCTCCCAGTGCCCTAGAGGACTTTCTTGATCCCAGCGTCTAAAAGGGTGTTGAAGGTAGTGACACTCACGCAATCTTGTTAACTGTGGCATCTTCATCATCCACTGCAAGAGACAGACAGGAAAGGGGACTCAGCAGGACATCAGTGGGCGGCTCTGGGAGCCAAACTTAGGATAATGTGTCCCCTGTCCCTGTCATTGAAGACAGTGCTGAGAAAGAGGCTCTGGGAGATCTTGCATTATAAACCTCACAACCTATTCCCCAACCAAGGCGGCAGCTTGATGATAGTGGTCCTAGGTACACAGAATAGAAGCCCCTAATTCCCACGCTCTTCTCCTTCCTCCTCATCACTAACAGATTCCTCTATTAGAAAGGCTCAGACTGCAGTCTGAGAGGTTGTTCACATCAGTGGCTGGGTGAAGGAAAAAGAAACGTGCACAGGGGGAAGATGGACTTCGCAGAGAAAAGTTCCGCAGGGGACAGCACTAAGGCAGTGCTGGGCTTGTTCCTCTAACCCATCGAGATCCATGGACCCAAAGCCACACTCCAAGAAAACTTAGCCTCTCTACAAAAAGAAAGACTACTGTCACCAAATCTCGGGAGGTGCCAGGTCCTTGTGGGAGAGTACTAGGAAGAAGATGGCACTCACCCTGCAGTTACCTACTTCAGGTTCACAAACGGCTCTCACTTGGTCCTCCCAGTGACAAAGTACCAGGCGGACTAATTATGCCCAATTTGTAGGGTGAAACTGAGGTCAGAAAAGTTACATGGATGCCGGGTAGCAATGCCGTATGGCTTTAATCCTAGTACTTGGAGGCAGAGGCATGTGGATCTCATTGAGTTCGAGACCAGACTGGTCTACAAAGCAAGTTCCAGGAAAGCCAGGACTACACACCGAGAAATCCTGTCTCAAAAAAAAGAAGGAATAAAAACTACATGGATAGGGATGAGGTACCTTGGGAGGTAGGAGGTGGAAACAGGAGTTCAAGGTCACCCTTAGCTATAAGGTGTTTAAAGCCAACCAGGACTACATGAGATATTGTCTATAAAACAAAATAAAACCAAGAAAGGGGTACCTGATTTTGAAAATGCCACAATAAAACATTATTTTGTCCGCTAACTTAAAATATATACAAATAAAGTAATTAAGTAACAAGAAAGAAATCAAAGCTTTCAGCTTTCCCATCTATTTCTCTGCTTGTGGAAGGACGGGGCTGAGCAGCAAGGGTTTCAAACAGCCCAGCACAGCCAACGCTCCTTTCCCAACAGGCACCGTCACCCACTCCTCTGGGGCTCGCTCCATGGCAACTAGAACTCTGGCTGAAGGCAGGGAGGTCAAAAGTACCTGTGGTGAACTCAGCAGGCCTCTTGAAGCGGGTCAGGAAGATGTGGCAGAGGATGTAGAGTGTTGCAAACAGAAGTATTGAGATCTGTGCCAAAAAAACAACCTGGAATGACATGTTTCATAGTTTCTAGCACATTCCACAGCCCCAAGCGTTCCATACATCCTAGGATTCTACATTGCTCACTGATGCCTTCCTTCTAGTTAAAGCATGGGGGCTCCACGCAGGACCAAACAGAGGCTATCCCAAGTCCCTGGGAAACAGCGCCAACCAAGTCCCAGCACTTTGCTGGAGCCACAAGCTTCATCCATATCTTTAGAGGTGAACAGAGAAACTTCTAGAAATATATATACACATGCATACACCTATCCTATACCCTAAAATCAGGTCATAGAACAAGAGAGACTGACTATACTTTGACAACATTCCGGGAAAGTAACAGGCTTGAGAAAAAGTTGTCTGAATTGTCTTCGTATTCTTCTTACCCAGCTCCATTTGCAGTTATGAGAAAGTATACTCCATGAACTGCTATGTCAGAATCACATCTACCAAGCAAATCTGAACTTCTGTTTATTCGGAACCTGAAACATCAGGTCTGCTCTGTGGCAAACTAGAGCCCATTTAATTATCATTCAGCAAGGCTTTAGTCAGGCCCAACCTTTCCAGAGTTGGTTATCTGCCGCTTTAAAATCCTCAGGTTCTTCCACAAGTGACTTTCAACTCCAGGGCCAGGGCTCTTAGGACCTACCCATGGCCCTGAGTGGTTAGACAGTACAGAACTTGAACAGATTAATTAGTATGTGGGTAACATCAAGACACTTCCCCAAAGCCGGAGAATACAAAAAAAAAAAAAAAAAAAAAAAGATGTCACTGCAGTTGAGGTAGGCAAAGACAAGATTAGTCTCTCCTCCCGTGTCTTCTAATCTCCAAGAGGAACTGACCTTACAGGAAATCTGTTCAGTGACAAGGACAGAAGACACTAAGAAGTCCTGAATCTGAAATACAGCTGTAGCTTTTGACTTAGGGAACCCCCATAGAAGCAGTCACCAAGATTGCAGCTGCATTTTTACAGCTGTGTTCTGTTCATTCTGCCCTAAACTTGCGCAATACCCAAGAAGGTAGAAGAGCTTAGAAGTTCAGGCTTGGACTTCCACCCACTTCCAATAGAGGCTAGATTGTTCTTTTTTTGAGACACAGTTTCTCTGTGTAGCCCTGGCTGGCCTGGAATTCACTCTGTAGACCAGGCAGGCCTCGAACTCAGAGATCCATCTGTCTCTGCCTCCAGGGTACTAAGATTAAAGGCCTGCATCACCACCACCATCCAGCCCAGGTTGTTTCTAACTTCTAGATGGAAGCCGGGAGGAGGAGGTTCACGAGACCTTCAGGTGCCCTTGGCAGGTGCTGATGTCCTAAGCTAACAGCTTAGAAGGCAGAAACATAGCAGTTCGTAAGGGCTCACCTGTCCAGGTGGTCAGTCTCTATACAGAGTCTCAAGGCCTAGATGTGCCTCCACGATATGCCCAATGCCCCAGTGAGGACCTTTCCACCAGGGACACACAAGGATGCTACTCTGATTCCTACACCTGGGGCGGTACACCGGTACTTTCCAGTCCTCATTGATAAAGGCAGCCCTCAGTATATCCTGTGTCCCTTTACCTTTTCTTCAATCTAAGCATGCCAAGACTTCTTTCCATTCCTCCAAACCCTTCCCTTTTCATTTAGTATGCTCAGAGTTCTATGCAGAAACACCAGAGAGATGGTTCCTGCAGGCTACCCTGAAAGAATAAGAACACGCTAGAGGGCCGGGCGGTGGTGGCACACGCCTTTAATCCCAGCACTCGGGAGGCAGAGGCAGGTGGATCTCTGCTGAGTTCGAGGCCAGCCTGGTCTACAGGGGCTAGTTCCAGGACAGGCTCCAAAAGCTACAGAGAAATCCTGTCTCAAAAAAACGAAGAAAAAAAAAAAAAAGAAAAGGAACATGCTTGTGCTCAGGACTACTGCGGAGCCCCCAGAAGAACTCCCAGAATGGCTAGTCTTCCAGTCTTCCAGGGTGTCAAATAAATTATCAGGAAGTGTTGTGGGGTGTGCGTCACAGTGTTGGCTTGTATTTGGCATGCTGCATGCCAAAGGCCCAGGGTTCAATCACAACACGAATGAAAACAACCCACCATCATTGAAGGGAAGAGAAAAATAGGCGCGGAAACTTCGGTGTCTTCCCATCTCCACATCTTACAACCCACCTCGGACAGGATTACTTTCTTCCTTAGTGGGGGGACCCACCACATCCCCTACTCTTCCCTCGCGCCACCACTGCACGTCCCTAGTTAACTGCTTTGTGTGACCGGGTCTCGCTTCATCCCAACATCAACTACGATTGCCCTCCATCTACTTTTAAGGGGAATACGCACATCAACTTGTCCCAAAGCAAACCCATCCTTTTGTGGAGGATCAGATTTTTCCGCCCAAGAGGACTCACCGCCAGGAACGCCCGCCGAGAAGGAGTCGAAGGGGGCGGGGGGAGGGGCGAGCAGCCGAGGAACGGAAACCCCGCGGCTTTGTTTACGACTCAGGGACCCAGCACACCAGACTCAGGAGTTCGCCATCCCGGCCCCGGCCCCCTCAGAGACCGAGGTGCTGGGAGCCGGGGCAGCAGGACTTCCTGTCCCCACCGCTGCCCGCGCCCCTCCCACCTCGGCCCGGCCGGCCCCTTCCCGCCCAGGTCCCGCACTCACGATGCACTCGCGGACCCGGTCGTGGAACAGCTGCTCTCGCACGGATAGCACTTCGTAGTCAGCTGCTTCCATACTCTGCTGCTCAGCATGACTGGGGCGGGGCTGTCTCCGGGCCCGGGGAGGACGAGCGGGGATGAGGCCACCGCCGCCCGCCAAGCACCCGGACCCAGCCTAGGAGCTGCTCCTCGCTGCCCGCGACGGAAACTCAAGGTAATCTGGGGCTCAGATTCAGCCGTCGGACGCCCCGCCCTTAAAGGGGCAGGCCCCAGCCTGCCTTGTCTTAAAGGGCTAGGGTCCCCCGCGGCTCCCTCCCCTTTAAGATGGGGTCACTCACAGTCACGTTTCAACGCAAGTACCGGCCGCCCAGCTACGCGGAAGCTCCCGGCTCGGTGCTATCCTTTTAAGAGGCCCGGTGACGACACAAGACCTGGGCGGGTTTCTTTCAAACAGCGAAATTTATTGGCTGCTTTTCGGCTGTCGCTCATCGTGAAGGGTACGCTGATAGGATATTCTGGGAAAGGAGGCGGGATATTTTTGGCCTGTCGAAGCTGTTGTAAAAAACGAAGACTCCACTTGATCCGCTGTTGAGATGTGCTGATTCCAGGATATTAGTATCAGCCACGATTTTACTTTAAATGAATGGTTTGGATCAGGACAACCAGTCGAGATATAAGAGCACCCCGCGGCCCTGTAACCCAAGGGCCTATAGCGTTTTCTCGAAGTGTATTGCTATTGGAGATTTCCCCAGCCACTCCCGAAAACTTTCTCTCATTCATTTTTATGGAAGGCCTAGGATATTAAAGAACGAATAGTAAAAACAAAAGTTGAATAGGAAAGCCGGGCGGTGGTGGCACACGTCTTTAATCCCAGGAGGCAGAGACAGGCGAATCTCTTGAGTTCCAGCTAGCCTGGTCTATAGAGTGAGTTCCAAGACAGCCAGGGCTACACAGAGACACCCTGTCACGAGGGAAAGAAAAAAAAAAAAAAGCCGGCGGTCGCCTTTAATCCCAGCACTCCGGAGGCTGAGGCAGGTGGATCTCTGCGTGTTCGAGGCCAGCCTGGTCTACAGAATAAGTTCCAGGACAGTTTCCAAAGCTACACAGAGAAGCCCAGTCTTGAAAAATCAAACCTAAAATAAAAGGTCATGAAACTTTTTTGTTGACAGGTCTTGTATGCAAACCAGGCTATCCCTTGGCCTCTCAGCGATCTTACTCAACCTTCCAGTTGACTGCTAGATGATTGGCATGTTCTACCAGGCCCGGGCTATCCTGAAACCCTGTGAGGAAATGTCCAGGGGGAATATTGGTGAGCGGACTGAGCCAAACATTAACTAACTACCAAGCATTAACTACTTACCTGCTATGTGCCATTCTCTTTATAGCCTTTATCTAATTTTAACATCATAGCAGGAATTTGAAACTAGAAAATAGAGGTTGTCATGGTCCTACTTAAGACTTAGAATCTAGGCCAGGTGGTGGTGGCGCACACCTTTAATCCCAGCACTCAGGAGGCAGAGGCAAGCGGATCTCTTTGAGTTCAAGGCCAGCCTGGTCTACAGAGTGAGTTCCACGATACCTAGGGCTGTTACATAGAGAAACTCTGTCTCAAGGAACAAAAATAATAAATAATTTTTAAAAAGCCTTAGAATCGGGGACTAGAGAGATGGCTCAACAGTTAAGAGCATTGGCTGTTCTTCCAGAGGACCCGGGTCATTTCCTAGCACCCACATGGCAGCTCACAATTGTAACTCCATTTTCAGGGAATCTGACACTTTCACACCAATGCACATAAAAAACAAAAAGCCCTAGACTCTAGCTGGGCATTGTGGTAGACATCTTTAATCCCAGCACTAGGAAGGCTGAAGCAGGTGGATCTCTAAACTCAAGGCCAACCTGTTCTACTCCACACATCGAATTCCAGGCCAGCCAAAGTGACGTGGTGAGAATCTATCCTAAAAAAAACAAAAGAAGGCCGGGCAGTGGTGGCGCACACCTTTAATCCCAGCACTCGGGAGGCAGAGGCAGACAATCTCTGTGAGTTTGAGGCCAGCCTGCTGGACTACAAGAGCTAGTTCCAGGACAGGAACCAAAAAAAGCCATGGAGAAACCCTGTCTCGAAAATAAAAAAAAAAAAAAAAAAAAAAAACAGAAAACCATTTGCTTGTGTATGGATATGTGTATATCAAGCTTTCTTGTTGGCCTATCTTTGGATCACTAACCACCAACCACCAAATAACAACACAAAGACTAACTATGAAAACTTAGGCTTTTTTCCCAACTAGCTCTCATAACTTAAATAAATCTGTATTTATTTATTCATTTTTTTGTTTATTATTTTGGTTTTTCGAGACAGGGTTTCTCTAACATCCCTGACTGTCCTGGAACTTGTTGTATACCAGGCTGGCCTTTAATTTATTGAGATCTGCCTGCCTCTGCCTGTAGAGTGCTGGGATTAAAGGTGCGCACCACCACTACCCGGCTTTAACCCATTTTTATTAATCTATTGCTTCTACATGGCTTGGTTACTTCTCCTTTGTACCACATGTCTGACTTCTTCAGTGTCTTGCTGTCCTCTGTCATGCTGCTATACTCATCCCAAATTCTTCTCTGCCCGGAATTTCCTCCATTCATTCATTCTCTCCTTCCTAGCTATTGGTCATTTAGCTCTGTATTAAAACAATCACAGTGACACATCAGCACACAATATAAACAAATATTCCACAACATATATATGTATACATAGTTGGCCCTCCACATTGTTGAGTCCCACATTTGTGAGATCAATTAATTTTAAATTTAAAAAAAGAAAGAATGGCCGGGCAGTGGTGGCGCACACCTTTAATCCCAGCACTCGGGAGGCAGAGGCAGGTAGATCTCTGAGAGTTCGAGGCCAGCCTGGTCTACAAGAGCTAGTTCCAAGTCAGGCACCAAAGCTACAGAGAAACCCTGTCTCGAAAAAACAAAAAATAAAAAATAAATAAAAAAAAGAAAGAATGAAAAAGGGTACTTGTCAAGATGTTTCAGTTGGGGGCTGGAGAGATGGCTCAGTGGTTAAGAGCATTGCCTGCTCTTCCAAAGGTCCTGAGTTCAATTCCCAGCAACCACATGGTGGTTCACAACCATCTGTAATGAGGTCTGCTGTATACATAATAAATAAATGAATAAATAAATATTTTAAAAAAAAAAAAAAAAGATGTTTCAGTTGGTAAAGTGCTGTCCTGTAGGTAGGAGCTAAGTTCCATTCCTAGTAGACAGTTAGTAGTACACACTGGTGAACCAAGCACTGGGGCTGAGGAGATGAAGATAGTAGAATCCCTAATACACTCTTGATGTAGCCTCAGGGCCTAGCAACAGGCCAAGTCTAAAAAAACATTTGGAGTACAAAGAGAGAACCTATCTCCAAAAACAACAGCAAGATACAGTTAGGGCTGGAAATGTAACTCAGTAATAAAGAACTTAGCATATGCAAGACCTTGGATTTGGTCCCCAGTACCATGAAAAAAAAAAAGTTTGGAAGCAAAATCATGTCTGTATTTAGCACGCATATAGACTTTTATGTTCTTGTCATTACTCCCTAAACAATATAGTATAACTACTTGCATAGCATTTACATTGCATTAAGGATTATGGGTATTCTGGAGATGATTTAAAGTGTCCTGGGGATATGCATACGTTATATGCAAATTCCTCTGTGCTTTCTTTTCTGGAATTCGATATTTAGACCAGGCTGGCTTCAAATTCACAGAGACTTCTTCCTCTGCCTCCTGAGTACTAGAATTAAAGACATGTGCCGCCATGCCCCACCCTACACCATTTTTAAATTTACTTATTATACATGTGTTCTCTGTGTGTCTGTGTGTGACTGTGTCCAACAATTAAACTCGAGGTATCAGACTTGGCAATAAGAGCCTTTACAGGCCAGGCCATCTGAGTCCTCAGACACTTATTTCAACTATGAAAAGCACTATGCTTTAATGACAGTATTGAAATGCAAATCAAGTTGAGGTTGGGTATGTTGGTGCATGCCTGTAATCCGAGCCTATGGAAGGCTGAAGCAGAATGATGTGAGTTGACCAGCCTGGGTTAATGAGTTCTAGTCCAACCTGGGCTACCTTACATGACCTTGTTTCAAAAATAAAGCAAAAATAACTAAAAGACTTAGAACAAAACCAGAATATTTCACTCACATTTACTTAATTGGCATGCATAAGATTAAGGCCCAGGGGACTGGAGAGATGGCTCAGAGGTTAAGAGCACTGACTGCTCTTCCAGAGGTCCTGAGTTCAATTCCCAGCAACCACATGGTGGCTCACAGCCATCTATAATGAGATCTGGTGCCCTCTTCTGGCCAGCAAGCATACATACAGACAGAACACTGTATGCATAATAAATAAATCTTAAAAAAAAAAAAAGATTAAGGTCCATTATGTGCCAAGGGCTAGGCATGGATAGTAGACAGAAATAAAGGATGGAACTCCTGCTGTCGTAGAGCTTAGAGCCTGTAGTAATTAGGAACAGTGAGGAGGAGCTTGCCACCAACTGTGACTCTAGTTCCAGTGAGATTTAATATTCCTGGCCTATGAGGCGCCTGCATTCATGTGCATTTACCCACACGGAGGAATGAGAATGGGCCCCAAAGACTCATTATATTTGAATACTTGGTACCCAAGTGATGGAACTGTGTAGGGAGTCCTTCTCTGTTCCATTTGTCAGTTCCCAAATAACCACATGGAGATTATTATTAATTATGAAAGCTCACTCAATAGCTTAGACTTATTTCTAACTAGCTCTTATAACTTAACCTATTTTACTAATTTACATGCCTCACATGGCTCACAGCTTGTTACCTCTTCTACATGCCATGTTTCCTCTGAGTCTCAAAGTGACTCTGGATCTCACCCAGCTTGCATCCAGAACCCTCCCCACTTCTGCCACCCTGCCGTCTTTGGGCAGGTAACATCACCCAGCTCAGCCTGTCTGGGCGCGCTGGGATCGAATCCGGAGGGCAGCCGGGCGGGCGGGAATTCCTTTGTTTCAATAGCCTGCCTGCAGCAAGCAAGAGCCTTCATCTGGCGATGGATGGAGATAAAGACAGAGACCCACACTGGAGCATCAGACTGAGCTCCCAAGGTCCCAATGAAGAGCAGAAGGAGGGAGAACATGAGTAAGAAAGTCAGGACCACGAGGGGTGCACCCACCCACTGAGACAGTGGGGCTGATCTACTGGGAGCTCACCAAGGCCAGCTGGACTGTGACTGAAAAAGCATGGGATAAAACCGGACTCTTTGAACATAGCAGACAATGAGAGCTGATGAGAAGCCAAAGACAATGGCACTGGGTTTTGATCCTACTTCATGTTCTGGCCTTGTGGGAGCCTAGCCAGTATGGATGTTCACCTTCCTAG